CGACAGCGTCTCCTGCACCACCAGCCGGCTCAGCGGCTCCACCACCTGCAACACACGATACACATGACATATATACAAACATTTTTAATTATTTTATTAATATTAATACCACGAAAGATTTATAAAAACCATTAATTTATTTTTTTTACCTTTATTACGAAAAAAACTATAGTTGCTATTTCACAAGATACGTTATCAACATCGAAAAAAGCGTGTTCGTCGCTAGAGAATAATCTAGACTATGCCTAATGTCTAAGGGGTGAGGGGTTTACTATTAAAATGGTATCATTCGGAATAGTTTTTTTTTTATTTCGAATTCATCGACTCTAGGGTCGCCCTGGCGACGCCAGTGGTAAGAAATTAAAACAGAAATTGGTATGGAGGGTTAAATGCTTGATATTACATTGCATTGCAAATGATTCCACTTTCATTATCTTACTAGCCGTTGCTCGCGACTTCGCTCCAGTGAAATAAAATTTTTTATTAAAAACGGCCTCTTACTCACTGATAACGATGCTTTTTAATGGTGTAAGTTGAATCGACCTAGCAGTTTTTGAGTTACTTCAATACATACAAAAAATCTTTAATATAGATATAGATAATAGAACGAGTTAAAAATCTAAAAAAAATAACGTTAAAATATAGGTATACTTACAGGGCCCAAGTTAAAAATAATAGTGGATGAGATGGTGAGCGGCCAGTACGTGGTGTGTCGCTGCAGTCGAGCGCGCGCGCGCCCGTTGCCGCCTGCGCCCCGCAGCGGCACCACCTTGTTCTGCTGCATCACGCTGCCGAACTCCTTTATCCTGCACATTTACATACTAAACACACCAAAAAAATATATAACCCAAAAGACAAAATATATAACCCAAAAGGCTTTCAGACCAATTAAACCACAATCGAGGAGTAAAATCAAATATTCAATGCCATTTTCAAGAGAAGTTATCTTTAAGTTGAGCTCAGTGGCACTAGTGTATTCAATGAAGAAATTCGGGCAATGTCAAGATGTTTGAAATCATACTACTATAAATGCGAAAGTTAAGAAGGATGGTTGTTTCGTGTTTAGTGTGTAGCCTAAACTGCTGAACGGATCTCGATGGAATTTGGCATAGATACAAACATATAAATCTGGAAGAACACGTAAAATAGGATAAAACGAGATAAAATAAAATAACACAAAAACACTATTTATTGGCCAAGAAAAATAAAAAAACGAAACTCAAAAAAGAAACAAAATTAACACAACTTATAAAATAAAGACACATACATAGGCTACTTACTTTTGTTTTTTTTTTTAATTCCACGCGAACGAAATCGCGGGCGAGAGTACATTATAATTAAAGTCGGTATATACCTATAGTCGGTGACACGTCCGCCTGCGCCCTCCGAGAGTGCGGGCGGGTCGTCGTAGGGTGTGCGTCCGCCCAGGGCGCCTATCCACAGCTCGCCGCCCTGGGCCGCCAGCACGTGCGACGCGGAGCGCCCGCCGCCCTTGCTGCACAACACTCAGATAATTTTAATACTGATGTACTAACGAGAACTCATACATATTGATAATAAAAATATATAATAAAAACATAAAAAATCCAGTAAGCCTAATAGAAATATTATTTTCAATTCTATCATGCATGAGTGAGATTCATTCTGTTAGGTCTCAATTAGTCAGTTTATGATTTTTTTTTAAAGAATTAGATAAAGCTCTGGGCGAGGCTGATTCCTATTAGATTGGTCTGCAGTCTTTAGCATTGGAAAATCTATATCTATGTGTAACAAAATTGGAATGTCTATATGCAATATCGGCAAAAAATCACATTTCTTACACATGATATATTTATATTGTATAAAAAAGGATTTTTAACATTTTCATCTATCTGCCCCCAACTCCCCTTGGTTCTGGGTACTCTGCGATACATATAAAGAGGAAAGATTTGTATTTATGTTTGTATTGAAATCACTCAAAAACTTCTAGACCGATTTCAAAAATTCTTGCACCACTAAAAAGCTATATTGTCACTTAGTAACATAGGCTATTTCGCGTGCAACAACTAGTTGCTTAATATGTTTATCAGTGTGCTTACCGCGGCACCTCGAGCGTGACGGAGCGTCCGTTGAGCAGGAAGTTGACGAGGCAGGCAGAGGGGCGTGACGCCACGTCCGCCGGCGTGACCGCTGCAGCCGCTCGCCCCGCCCTCCGCGCCGCGCGGCGTCCACCACCGCAGCACCACCTCACACCAACACAGTACAGTAAGACACCATTCCACTGGACTGATAAGCATAAACTAACTGCCAATAGTTAGTTTATGCAATATATGTCTGGCTAGCGCTACTGTCCAACTGTACTGGCTACACTTGATTTGTGCTTCAAACTTAATATTAGTGTAGAATTCTAATAATAACTATCATTTTTATACCAACGAAAATGCTTATCAACACATATATCATTTTTAGTCAAAATTTGAGGAGTAGTTTTTAAGTTGTTTATAGGTATTGTAAGCATCATGGATCCACTTTAAATTTTTTCTATTTTATACAAGTAGGTGACCCCCCTACTTTAGTGCGTCTTTTCTTCATTCCTGAATCATCATCATCACGAGCTCCCTATAAGTCCCCACTGAGGAGCTCCAAGCCTACCCTAAGTAGGGAGTGACTAGGCCATAGTCCACCACACTGGCCAAGTGCCTCAATTGCCACATTCCTGAATATTTAGAATAATATATGTATGTCAATATTCTGTATATCTTACAGATTCCAGTGCCTCAGCGGCAGTCTGCGCCGCGCGCAGCCCTGCGTGCGCCTCCGACGAGTGAATGATCTCCACGTCGTAGTTGGCGCTTGAACTCGCGTTTTGTTCTTCCTTTAAAACAAAATAATATAAATATCATGTACTAGCTGTTACTCGACCTTTGTACGCCTGAAACTGGTTAATATAAAAAATAGGCCTATGTTACTTTTTAATGGTGAAAGAATTTTTGAAAACGGCCCTGAAGTTTTTGAGTTATTTCAATACATAAAAAATCCAAATCTATCTAAATATAAATTAAATCACTTTATTATATTAGTTCATTCAGGGTAACGGGTATAATTTAGTACGAGAAAACACAGAATGTCTTCAAAAAACCTTTTACTCTTTTCACTCTCAATTATTTTACATGCTTAAATATGTTTATAGTATTTTATTAAATTACTTATAGCTAAAATGCAAAATAATAATTCAAACCTGTAATTCAGAGTTTGGTATTAAAATCTTTAATACACCATAGATTACCTTCATAGGGATGCCAGTAACGGTGGTTGTTGCCAGCTTGTAGTGTGGCAACACCAAGCGGCCGAGCAAGTTTGCCAGAGTGCTTGCTCTTGACACTATCACCTCCACTCCCATTAGACCACCGCCCATCTGAACATACAAACTCATACATATGAATATTTCGTAATATGGTGGAATTCAATGGAAATTAGTACTGAAGTAGAATAACTGATTGTCATTTATTGTCTATGCATGTATTTTGGAAGTTTCGATTTTTAAATTAATGATACAAACATGTTTTTAATTACTAGCTAATAAAGGTAAAATTGTTTAGAAAGTTTTGTCATACTTTCTTATTTCTATTCAATTCCTCATACTATAAATGCGAAAGTTTAGATGCATGCTTGGATGTTTGTTAGAGTTTGTAGCCAAAACGGCTGAACGGATTACGATTAAATTTGGTATAGATGTAGAGGATAGTCTGGAAGAATATATAGGCTACTCAATTAATTTTTTTTGTGCACGCGGACGGTGTCGCGGGCGTAAGCTAGTATATAATAATGGAAAATTTTCTAAAAAGTCATTAACAAAAATCCTCATCTAGCTTTAATTCAGACTTCAGTTCTAGAAAAGAAATAAAACACATTATATTCTATACACACCTCTGTAAGTGGTTGGTTATTAACTCTCGTTTCAATCTTTTCAGGCGTCACATTTACTATGACCAAATGACAATAGTGAATCACCAATGATCTGGAAATTCACCAAATGAACTTTGACTTCAGAAAATTAGAAACCGAAAATAAGCAAGACATTTTTGAAAAAAATACAAAGATTTTTTTTATGAAAAACAATAAATTTATTGATTTTTTCTATTCTTTGAGATCCTGCAAAACCAGGAGTAACACACCCGGAGATAAAATTATCATTATTATGTCTATACAATTCTTCTTCGCACTGTAAGCAAGATATGTACCAGGTGTTTTAGTGCTGGTTTCGCATTCAAAGTGTTAAAAAAGTTTGAAATCAAAAAGTACATACTGTGTATTAGCATTTGTATCAGTACTAGTAGTGGGTGGGACCATAGATAACTTTTTGTTCTGTTGCACTAAGGCATTGAGTGCTATTTCCGCCAGGCTCCTTATTGAGTCGTCATCCCTTGCACTTGTAATGCAAATAATGCGGCCCCTAAAAAATAAATATAATCCAGTATTAATAATAATATTGGCATGTAAAGTATTAACATTTTAAGGACACATTTTTTTGTGAGTATTAGACGGAGAAGGCAGATAACAAAAGCAAACATTCTTTCCTTTTTATGACAGTTTTCTATCTAAAATAAAAGGGAATATCAGCATACCTATTTTGGAAAAGTCTCTCAGTATTGGGCCGTGAAGACTGTGTGGGCGAGGGTTCCCCCAGTGCTTCAATAGCGGCACACAGTCCCACAACATCGCCACCCGCTCCACGACGCACCGGACCAACAAGACAAAGTCCATTTAGAATCTGAAAGTTGGTGAACATCATGTGGATAAAATCACAATACAAAAATTATGCCACATTTATGAACAACTAAAAATTGCAAGCAAAATAATAAACTTTAACTAGCAGTTTATGTCTTCTTTTAAAGCATATTCTTAATATATGCCATTCAGCAAGATTCATTCTGGGAGATATGTAGTGACATTCATCCATCCAGCCTTCTTAACTTACACATTTACAATAATTAAAATTCATCATTATCTTCCTCCTTATCCCTTAGAATCTTGTAGCAGGTTTTTGTCCTCCATAACTCTATCATCACTCCCTTCTAGATCATGTCACCTTTCACACAATCCATCCATCTCTTTCTAGGCATTATTATACAAAAGTATTGCAAAAATTAATTACATGTGTCAAATTTTGTTGTGCTACAGCCCAAGTGTTCAGTAAATGTGCTGTTGAATCACTGACTATAAACCGGATCTGCAACAGTAATAAATAACTAATTAAACACAATGTCTTTTTTATGATACAAGTTACTTTACCTTTTTTTTTAATTTTAATCTGGAATTAAAGTAAGTATTCTTAGAATCAGGACTTTTAGAATACGAATATTTAACCCGGCATTACATTAAAAATGTAGAAAGCATAGACTGAAATTATTATATATATATTGATATTTCTATTAAAACTAAACTTTCATATTTTATAAATATATGTATTTGATTATAACAGAAATAAAAAAGATTAATGATTTTACCAATTTCCCTTCTGGAAATAGGTCCCACACAATCCTGCAATATTCAACAGCCGCTTCTACACTGCAAGTCCATAAAGACTTACAAACTGGCGGTAAAGGAACATATCCCGGACCTCGAGTTTTAGAAACATCAAATTCTATTGGAAAATCTGAAGAAATCCCAAAATAAGGAGTGTGATCTAAGACGAATATTGTTTTATGATTAGTTGGAAACATTGCATTGCAATTATTTTTCTATATCTATACAGCTTCTCGGTAAATATCTTCAAATCAAACTTAAATCACGCAAAGAACCAAATGTAAACATGATATTTGACATTTGTCGACTTTGACATTATCATGAATTTGACATTTGATTTCAAAACATTGCCATGTTTTTGACATGTTGAAGAAAACCAGAGAGATAACTAGATAGGTCTGTACCACACTGCTTTTACCGTAATTTTCGTTAACATTCAAAACGAATCTTATCGATATATTCATTATCTCAATATGTCCATGTTTCAAAATCAAACAGTTGTTATCAAACTGGATTAGTAGTTTTAAAACCTAAATATACCTACGTAAAAGGCATGTATAAATGTTATGAGCCTAGGAGGCAGTAAAGTAACGATAATTGAACGATGGAGATAAATGTAAACATATTCCAAACTGTGTAAGGTTACTTGTGAAAATGGGTAAATTGAACTAGGAGAAAAGGCAGTCTAGTTGACGACTTGGATTACACATTGACTTTGCTATTACCATCCAAGTTAAAAGTAGAGAAACTGTTTTCTATTTTTAACAACATTTAATGCCGGGTTCACACTTGGCCAATTGCGACGGCAAGAACACTTATTGGTGCCTCTTATCGTTTACACTCTGCCATTTAATCAGAATCAGAATCAGAGCACTCTATACTGGTAAAGTCTAAACCGCGCATTATAGATTTGCATCACGTCACTAAGTTACGTTACCCCTAAAAAGTGCTAAAAAGGGCAATAAAATTGCGACTTGCGATTACATATATTTCGTTCAGAGAAATTATACAATAGCAAATGTTTTTTTTTTGTATGAAATAATTATCCAAACGTCCATAACGTAAAAGAACGGTACAAATAACAATTTGGTACCTCCCTACGGTGAATGTGAGAGAATGATAAAATGGTGCATTCGTCGATCAAACCGGGCCACACATTTGAAGCCAGAAATTAAATTAGACATCCACCATTTTGTTTATTTTCATGAAAATACTTTTTCAACCGGATACTGAAGTGAAATTTTGTGCACTACCTTATAACACCGAGATTAAGTAAATTTGGCAATGGTTATAAGATAAAGAATGTGCTATTAGCGTACACTATTCTCGGACCCTTGTATTGAAAATTGCAGACATCGGCCGCGCCGCTAGTAAACACTCTTGTAAAATTAACATCTTATCCTCGAAGAAAGTCAAAATCCCGGGTTCACAAGGCCTCAGAGTCGATGAGAAAGGTTCGTTGAAGTTTGTTCAGCGACTATTTAGCAGGTGTAGAGGGAGTGATCCTCTGGCGTTAAAGGTATGTGCAGTGCAACAAAAGGGCTATGGGAACTTTTATAATTAGGTAATGTGTTACGAAGTTATTCATGGTGGGTAAAAATTGTGCAGGAAATTTCTAAAAGTTGTGGGCGACAGTCCCCGGTGGCGCGCCCGGCTAACATGAATCACACGCCTGCCCCGGACAGGCCGCAGCAAGACTCCAATGTAAATCAGGTTGAGGAGATGGAGACACAAGAAGGTTAGCAAATCTTCATTTTTTAATATATTCTTTAAACTTTATTTGTTTTGGTATTTGTGTCCAATTGTCTATACCAAAAATATCAACGATATTCGTACGTACTTAATTACAAAGCATTTTTTGTGTTTGTTTCGCAAATAGTCCTTACACTTAACCTCAATTTACCAAATTCTAAATCTGATTTTCCATTATGCTTGCTATATTCACTCCATTAAACATGATAGATTTGATTATCACACTAACTTTAATATCTTATTTTCTGATAATAGCACCTAATCTTGTACAGTTTCTTTGTTATGAAGTTGACAAGTATGTGAAATCTATATATAGATTGCTTTGTTTTAGATGGCCATGTAAAACTTCTCCAAATATAATAGTGATTGTTTATGAAGTGACAACAAATTATTTCAGATCAATATGTGTTAAATGTCACATAATAGTCTTGTACATTACAATAAACATTACTTGTTTTTGGCAATAAAGTTTTAATGAATAAAATTATTATATCATATACAGTAATTCCTGAAGATTTCTAATGTCAACAAAACAAGTAGTTCAGATTAATTAATAGCTATTTAAGGTCTTTTATAAGTTTAATGCAGTTATCTTGGAAAATGTATGTCTAAAGGAATGATGTCCCGAGTTTTGTATTTATTATGTTTGAATAAAAACTTTTTTGTATTCCTTAAACCATAAACAACTTTAAAACTAACTGGCTGTCAAAATGAAAAGTATATTCAATTTCACATGTCACAAAATTTTCAAAATGAATGTCATGAAAACAATAGACATATTCTGTTCCTAAGTGAGGACTTTTCTTTATTTATATTACAGGAATATTTAATGACTTGAACTTAGTGTTTTTAATAATGTGATATGTAAATGTTTGGAAATTAAATTAAGTTTAGCTTCTAAATTTTTATCTTCATAAAAAGCTAATTAAAGTAAATAAGGAGGAAAAAAGGAAGGTGAAGAACATGTATGCTGCATAAGTAAGTGTCGGTGATAGATAGCTAAATGTTTGTTAATATATGTACAGTTATAAATAGGCTATCATAAGTTTGCATGGTTGATGAATATGTATGAATGTGAATGTAAGTAAGGGTTTAAAAAGTAGAAACTAGATGATATATTTGTTGCACAACATTGGTGTAACAAAGGGTCCATCCCTTAAATTAGGTCTGAATATACAATAACCTAGGGCAGGATCACATCACTAGTTAAAAGACTGGTTTTGCACCTATAGTTCCCAAAGCAGTGTGGATGTCACACAAATGACTTAAGATAATTTGCTACTTGTTAACTATTTAAAAAAAGTTAGCTATGTTAGTGTGGAATTGACTTTATACACATCTTTTAATTTTTAATTAATATATTAACTTTTTTTTAAAATTAAGTATGTTTTGTAATTATTTCAGTGGAGACTGTAGAAACAGCTACTGAGAAGGCCTGGGATGAAGAGTTTGTTAAGGATTCCAATGGTGAAGTTGTGATGGGTGAAGTGATCAAGAACCCGGAGACGGCAGCTGCAGAGTTTCCGGTAATCAAATTACCATTTCTATCTTATATTGAATAGTTTGTGATTTTATTACCAACAGTGGCTACACCAGAAACAATGATCCACAGACAAAGAGCTTGTATAGAAACATGTTTATATTTTGTTGATTTACTATGACTACACTAGGATATCAATGATTATGATATTTACTGTTTATTGTGTGTTAAGGATTAATAATGTGTGTATTAAAAAAATTGGCTGATGTAAATGATGAAATGAATTTGAAAAACCGAGTGTAGGTTTTCAGTCTCTTTTTTTATTGAACTTTGTAAGCTTGATTTAAAAATTCACAATAGTACAAATCAAAAATATATTTTCCTTCATAAGTAGACTTACCTATTACACTTATTGTTACTGAATTTAATATTTTTTAAAACTTATAAAAAACACTGAAACATGTTTTGTTGGTAATGTCACAAATAACTTGTAGATGTTCATCATATCTATTTATAGACTGGCTTCAATTGGATAAAGTGTTTATTGATTTACAACCACCTGTTCACATGACCAGTCTGTTAGTGTTTTATGTGCTGTGTTTAACTTCAAATGTCCAATTAATAGAAATACAAGTGAAATGTTTACTTTTATTGTGTTTTTAGGTTATGAATGTTAATAAGTGCTAATATTTTCATTTTGTCAATAGTGATTGAGTGGTAATTAGATCTTGATAGTGTATATTCATGTTTTTATAAGAAACTTGTATAGAGCATCTTTAGATTAATAATGAGATCATAGACAATTAAAAATAAGCCTTATTATAAATAAGCAGAGGTTGAATTTTAGTATGAAGGAGTAACGTCGCCCATTTGTTGAAATTCAATTCGATCTTTTATTTTATTAAATATAGCTCTATGCTTTTCCCCTCGACATTGATTTTAGCTGTCAAATAGCATGTTCATCCATTTGGGCAGTTTCCTTTAAAAGGGGTAGAAATTTTCTGTTCACATATTACTTGTCAAAATTTCTTAATTTAATGGAGTTTTAAATGGTCTACATGTTAAAAATATTAAATGTTAGTCTAATTTGATTATTGTTTTAATCTACTCTTTTGTTCCTTTAGCTGGCTGGCCTTGATGCTGAAATGGAGGATGACGAGGCAAGATCGGAGGCGACGTTCCGTTTTACAGTACAAAACTTGAGGAGCCTTAAAGACTCGGTTCTCTCACCGCCATGCTACGTCCGCAACCTGCCATGGAAGATCATGGTGATGCCCCGGCAAGCACCGTCCCCTGACCGCCAGCAGCAGAAGTCATTAGGCTTCTTCTTGCAATGTAATGGAGAGAGTGAGTCTTCAAGCTGGTCCTGCTATGCAATGGCCGAACTGAGACTTATCTCTCAGAAACCAGATGCTGAGCCATTTTACAGAAAAATTCAACATCTGTTTTACAGGTTTGTTTAAATGTCATTTTACTGTTAATTTTTATGCTCTTATTTTTGTGTGTGGTACATTTTTTAATCCCTGGTATTAAGATATAAGGGTACAAAGTGTGCATTGTCTCATAGATGGCTTTGTTACATGCACACTTTCTATGGCTTGAAATTGTAAGCCACAATATTAGAACTTGAACACATATAGAGTTAATAATTTTATTCATGTTACATGAATACTTCAATCAAGTTAGTTAAGTTTTGAGATTAACTTGTAGTTTCCATTTTTGTTGTTAAAATGGCCTAATTTTGTGGTTATTTTTTCCAGTAAGGAGAATGATTGGGGATTCTCTCACTTTATGTCGTGGAGTGATGTTTTGGATCCAGAGAAGGGATACATTAAGGATGACTCTATTACTCTTGAAGTGCATGTAACTGCGGAAGCCCCACATGGGGTATCCTGGGATTCTAAGAAGCATACTGGATATGTTGGTGAGTGAATTATGTTACTTAAGAATGGTGTAATGATAAAAAGTGACAGCAAAATACTGAAACGAATCAGTCACTTTAGTCAGTGCCGTTTACATTCTGACACACATCAACATTTTAATACAATTTATAGTTCAAGCGTGATTTTATTTTTAAGATGCTTACACATTTAAATACTGTTTCAGTATTCGGCCGTTAGTCTCTTATGTTGTACCATACAACAATTCTAAAATGAATTTAATTCAGTTTTTGCTAGTAGACGTTGAAACTTTTATATGACTAAATTATTTATTAAATTGAAAGTCTGTTTACAGTTTGTGTGTTTGTGCAATAGATAAGATATTATTTTAATCTTGGTTTATATTGAAATAGAAGTTATACATTTAAAAAAAATATATATCTAAAATATATCCTTTTCACTTACATTAGTTTATTTTGTAATAATACTTCTCACTTATAATTATTTTTTTTTAGGTCTGAAGAATCAAGGCGCAACATGTTATATGAACTCTTTGCTGCAAACCCTATATTTCACAAATCAGTTGCGCAAGGCTGTGTACAAAATGCCAACCGAATCTGACGATAGTACAAGGTGATAACAATTTTATGTTCAACACTAGTTTCCCTGGACAACACTTGAATAGAAATGGGAAACTTTAACAAAACTTTCTAAATAATTATACGTTTTTAAGGGTGTAATGACATAAACAGATATGTTTGTATCATCGATTTAGAAATTGGAAAGATGGATTTTATGAAGTATATGTATAGAGATAAAAGTGACATTTCAGCCAGTGATATAAATACAATTTCTTTTGTAATTGAATTTAACCATGTTCCATGCAGTGTAAACCTATAGTCACATAAATAAGCAGTAAAAAAAAAACATTGCTTTCAGGTCTGTTGCTTTAGCGCTACAAAGAGTGTTCTATGAGTTACAATTTTCTGACAAACCTGTAGGAACAAAGAAGTTGACTAAAAGCTTTGGATGGGAAACACTTGATTCCTTTATGCAGCATGATGTGCAGGAGTTTTTGAGGGTGAGCACAAAAATACTAGTCTAAAAATGTTGTAATACTATTAATGCTGGGAAAAATGGAGTAAAACTCTAGTTACGCAGTTCGGAAACGCATTTCGTGAATTTATCGAACCAAAAACTAATAGTTAAATGTAGCTCGGAAACCGGCCATTAATAAAATTTAATTGTAAATGAATGATTGGTGTTATTTTAGGTTCTTTTAGATAAATTGGAGAGTAAGATGAAAGGTACCTGTGTTGAAGGGACTGTACCTCGCCTATTTGAAGGCAAAATGACCTCATACATCAAGTGTAAGAATGTTAATGTATCGAGCACTCGGGTTGAGACTTTCTACGATATACAACTGAATATAAAAGGAAAGAAGAACAGTAAGTATCAATACTCCCTATGCATATAGTCGTAACCCCAAAAAAGCGATTACTAGCACAGCTGTTTTAGCTTTAATTTTATCATATACTATGTTACATAATTCTCATAGGAAATGCTTAGTTATGATTTCATTTTTATCTTTCTGCTTTTTACAGGCTCTTTTTAACTTGATATCTCATTCAAATTAAATTATCACAATTACCAAAAGAGTTTTGGCCTTTAGGCTGAATGGTCTAAAGGGATTTTTACCTATAATCAGTAGATCCAATGAGGAAAAAATCCTATAGGTTCGATTGATCGGTGAAACTGGAAACCCTTAGAAGCTATTTAGTGACTTAAAATATGAGAGTAAGTAAATATTTTATTAAATGATATGCTAAGATATTTCTAATATTTTCAGTCGATGAGTCTTTCAACGACTACATCAGCACGGAGACGCTGGACGGCGAGAACAAGTACGACGCGGGCGAGCACGGGCTGCAGGAGGCAGAGAAGGGCGTCATATTCGCCTCCTTCCCGCCCGTGCTGCATCTGCACCTTATGCGCTTCCAGTACGACCCCATCACTGACAGCTCCGTCAAGTTTAACGACAGGCAAGTATTTCTTACTTACTGACATTACTACACTATACAAATATTAGAAAGAAGAAAGATATGGATTTTTTATGTATTGAATTAATTTGAAAACTATTGGGCTGATTTAAACATATCTTTTACCATTTAAAAACTACATTATAGGTCATTATTCATATTTGAGAACTATTTGTATAAATCGTTAACAAATAGCTTAGAAGATTTCACGTTCGTAATAAACTTAACCGAAAAATCAGCTCGTGAGTCGGAAGCTAATGTGTTTACTAGGTTTTTGTTATTTAATAAACGGGAAGAGTACTAATATGACAGAAAAGAGATCTGACGTATTTTTTTAAAGTCTGTAAATATCTTAGGATGGCTAATAATAATTATTTTAATTATAGGTTCGAGTTCTACGAGCATATAAACCTGGACGCGTACCTGCAGGAGAAGCCGGAGACGCCGGCGGACTACACGCTGCACGCGGTGCTGGTCCACTCGGGAGACAACCACGGCGGACATTATGTCGTCTTCATCAACCCTAAGGGAGACGGCAAGGTATACTAACACGTTGCCATGACAACGTTGAATATATCATAGATCGCGTGTTACATTCTCTACAACTTGTATAAGACTAAGCGTCGGAACGGGATAATGACATGACATGAACGGAACAATGTCGCAAAATAAATTGAGTTTTAAGAAATTGAAATATGTTTAATTTTACTTTGCACGTATTTTTTCACCAGGAAAACTTGTGTAAAACTAGTAGATAAATTAAATGAAACGATGTTTCAATTGTTTAAAGCACAATGTTATTTGCCATATTGAGTTCTGTTCTAATCTTCGGACTGTGTGAACACTAATGCGTTGTCTGAATGCCTGAATCGATTATGTCGACAAGAGTTAAGGTAAAGTCACTTTGGTCTGGTTTATTGTTTTTATTTTATTTAATAAATTATTACTAGTGCAGTAATAAACATTGTAACCTTGGTTTTCATTATTTGGTGTTGTTTTGTCGTGTCAGTGGTGCAAGTTCGACGACGACGTGGTGTCGCGCTGCACCAAGCAGGAGGCCATCGAGTACAATTACGGCGGACACGACGAGGACATGACGCTCACTGTGCGACACTGCACCAACGCCTACATGTTGGTTTATATACGGTTAGTGTACATACATTAAATAATCAAATGTTTTTTTTTGGGCGACGCTATGCTGCCCTCTCGTTCCCCCTAACATGTTTTTGGTAGATGGACGTTGGGTGCGGTGGGAACTCTGTACAATTAAAATATTACATTGCCTTTTTTTTAATTACTACTAAACAAATTAGACTAAGATTGCTAAAATGACTAGTATTTAATGATTAATCAAATGTGTTATCGTCAGCGATTCATTCTAAATGGAATTTAAAAATAACAAAAGTATGTAGCACATGTGTGCTTCTAGATTACAATTTTCATCTATGCCAAATTTTATCGAGATCCGTTCAGCAATTTAGGCTACAAACTAACATCCATCAATGTAAACTTTCGTATTTAAATTAGTAAGAAGTAAGATAGTATTGAAATAGATCTGTCATATAAGTTAGCTGACGTACTTTAATATTTTTACAGGGATTCACAGTTGAAGACTGTACTGCAAGAAGTTACTCAAGCTGACATACCTACAGAACTCAGCGAGCGGTTGGCCGAAGAAAAGAGAATTGAAACCGTAAGTGATTTTTATTACAGCTCAAAAAATACACTAACTCGAAATATACTTTTGACTCAAAAACTACTTTTAACTCCGTAACTACTTGTAATTAAAAACTACTTTAGAGGTAGATGATAATAGTGTAACAAATGTTGACAGATACGTCGCAAGGAGCGCAACGAGGCGCACTTATACATGAACGTAAACGTGGTGCTGGAGGAGGCGTTCGATGGTTACCAAGGCAACGACCTGTACGACCCCGAGCGCGCGCACTGCCGCGTGTTCCGCGTGCGCAAGCAGGCCACCGTC